ACTATATTGACCACCGATATAGGGGGGGCAATACACTGGCATCCAATGTGACAGAACACTATATTGACCACTGATATAGGGGGGGCAATACACTGGCATCCAATGTGACAGAACACTACATTGACCACCGATATAGGGGGGCAATACACTGGCCTCCAATGTGACAGAACACTACATTGACCACCGATATAGGGGGGCAATACACTGGCCTCCAATGTGACAGAACACTACATTGACCACCGATATAGGGGGGCAATACAATGGCATCCAATGTGACAGAACACTATATTGACCACCGATATAGGGGGGCAATACAATGGCATCCAATGTGACAGAACACTATATTGACCACCCGATATAGGGGGGCAATACAATGGCATCCAATGTAACAGAACACTACATTGACCACTGATATAAGGGAGCAATACACTGGCCTCCAATGTGACAGTACTCTACATTGACCACTGATATAGGGGGGCAATACACAATGTGGCCTCCACCATGTGCCTCCAATGTGACAGAACACTACATTGACCACTTTTATAAGGGGGCAATACACTGGCATCCAATGTGATGATGGTCTTCCCACTGAACAGCTGTGCTGGGGTGTGTCAGAACAAGTCCATTCATTGTAGGAGAGCAGGCTGCGTTCTCAGCACAGCTAGAGAACTGACTACGCTGTGCTCTCATGCCTAGTGTGATCAGTTTTTAATTGGAAAGCAGAGGGACTGGCAGGAACACCAGGGATTCACACAAAGGAAGCAATACAAAGAGAACAGGATACTTTTCCATACAAGAACATGGTACAGCAGGCACATATCAGGAATATGAAATGTTGGGTTTACATACTCTATAACTTCTCATATAACTCAGAGGCTACCTGTTTTTTTTTTTTTTTAGTTTTTCTTTTTATGGTGGGGCATGTCCTAGACTCAGGGGACTGCAGTATTCTGTTTAAATAATGGGACAGTCCCGGGTGGTGTGCGTGAGTATTTCTTTCTCTTAAATTATGATTCAGCTAGAACAATAGAGTTTTACCTGACAGATAGAAAAAAAATACTTTACAATTTCCAGGTGAAACTATAAAATATAAAAATAAGGCAACAACAAGCAAGACAACATCATGGTTTAGAGAAGGCTATAAAAAACATATTCATATTATCTTAAAGGTGGAAAATCCCTTGAAATAACAATCCCTTTTCCCTTTCCTATTTCTGACAAGCGGTTGTTAATCACTCATTCACTCCCACAGCCTCCTACTACACCCACCACTTCTCAAAACTAGGTACCTGTTACCATCAGATCTCTTACTCATTTCCACTACACCAGCCTGTCATTCTTCGTTGTATTTGGGGCATTCTACAGAACTCTTCATTTTCTATTACACATAAGATTAAATTATAGGGCTAATTTATACAAATATTAAAGGTCCAAAATAACTTTTTTGATTTGTTCCTCTGTATTTTTGTTAAATGTTCATCCTTTGAGTAAATTTAAAAAAAAAAAACCTTATTTTGTAGTGAAAACAATAATTTCATTTATTTGGAGGGCATTCCCCTTATATATAATTATGTTTTCAATCTAATTCACAAAAAAAAAAAAAATTTTGTCTACTGTGCAGCTTGCTTTCCTCACATGTACTTGATAAACAGGGTTCCAAAATCGTATCTAAATCTGAAAGAAAAAATGTAATATATTGCAGCTTATCAGTGCTAAATATGGTGGCTAAATTAGTCTCCTTTTTTAGGATTTTTTCTTTTGTTTGCACCTGGATCCAGCCAGTGGGTCTGTTGTTTTTTTAATATCCTTTAACAGATCAAAATCTTGGCAGTTTAGAGGAATGATACATAGTTACATAGTTAGTCTGGCTGAAAAAAGACAAAAGTTCATCCAGTTCAACCATTAAAAAACAAAAAAACTAAAGTTATAATCCTACACCCACAGTTGATCCAGAGGAAGGCAAAATAACCCAGCAAAGCATGATCCAATTTGATCCTGCAGGAAAAAAATTCCTTCCTGATCCCCCCGAGAGGCAATTGGATATTCCCTGGAACAACTTTACCTATAAATGTTAGTATCCAGTTATATTCTGTGTATCCAAGAAAGAATCCAGGACTTTTTCAAAGCAATCCACTGAGCTGGCCAGAACCAACTCTTGAGGGAATCTAACAACAGTTTACCACTGACATGGCTTACAATAATCAGCTTTTATTCATTTATATAAAACAGGACACCCAAAAGGGAAAACAGTGTTAGCTGAAGTTTGGCTTCAATTTGTTAGTGTATCTAAATCTGCTACACAGGGGCGGACTGACCATTTGGAAACTCGGGCACTGCACGAAAGCCCGGGGTCACTAGGGGGCCCCATGAGATGCCCCTGGTACCTTTTTTATAGGCTTTTTTGAGTTTGGGCAAGGACACAGGGGCCCCATGATCCCCTATTGCCCAGGGGCCCCATGAGTTGTCAGTCCGCCCCTGCTGCTACATCTAACACTCCCCTTTCTTCAGACCGACAATGATGATAATCAAGAAAAAAAAATACAAAACATGTATAAAAAAAAAAATGGGTATACGTGGTGGACCACTCTGTCTTTTCTCTGCTGTCACTCTTCTATGTTTCTATTATCACCGGGTGAAAATAAAGGAAAAAGAAGTCTAAAAAGGGGAAACTATAGCAGCCACCACATTCCCATAGATGAACTGTGGGCACATATACAAACTGACCCTTCCAATATAAACAGTGAGCTGTATCTGCACTGGTGTGTCTTAGGCTACTTTCTAACTGTTCCCTTCTAAAGACGCATATATGTTTTTGCCACGTTTCCAGTGTTTTTGACACGTGACAAAAAAACCCAACAAAAATGCAACCATGGGTGCGTTTTTGCCACACTTTTGATGTGGTTTCCATTCATTCCAATGAGGAGGTGTAGTCTTTTTACTGCACCAAACATGCATCAAAAATGCAGAATGCAGGATTTTACAAAATGCCTCGGACTGGCAGCTGATCTGTGAGAAGCGTTCAAAAGTTCATACAGACACTCAAACCTAAAACAAATGTTATTTCTGAAGTATAATAAAAGAAAAGTATTATGTATTTGAATCAATTTTATTTTATTTAAAAAAAAAGTAAAAGTTTTTTTACATCTATTTTCCACTATTTTATGCAGATTTTGCTTCACAAGTATAGATTTAATACATAACAAAAGGTGTCCCAAACTACTACGGGGTGTATATATATACCGGTATTTTATATATATATATATATAAACGCAGAGCAATTTGTTGATTGGAATTGCGTGTGCATTTGTTCTGTGAAAATGGGAAAAACATTTTTAATGATGATGGCAAAATGCTGCATTTGACCACTAGAAGGCACTCATATCATAGAAAATGTCTACCTATCGCCCTCTAGTTGCTAGATGCAGTATTTCCTATTTTAAATGAATGCAAATCATTCAACTAGCACAGGAAATAGCCTGCAGTTTGTGAGCACATTGAATGTCTAGAAACAGGTGTCTCAAACACAAACACACACTGTACCCATTCATTTCAATGCACCTTATCTGTGCTGCAAATGCAGCATGTAAGCTTTTTGCAAAGAATCCTTTCCTGGGAGGAACATGGAGGCTGCTGCTGTAGAATTAGGCTCTCCTTTTGCAGATGTTAGTTGCCTGGTTGTAAAAGTGATCCTCCTGATTGAATACTAAATATGGCAATAGATCATTCAATCCATCTATAGGAAAGCTGGTTCTGCTGAAGTCAATCCTTTCTATCAACTTCATTACAACCAGCCTATCTGATTTTATGCATGCGATCACTGCTGGTGGCTATAGCTGCCAGCAGTGATCGCATGTATAAAATCTGATAGGCTGATCATTATGTTCTGCTGGCCAGGAGGGCTCCCTGCCAGCAGAAAACAATAGCAGGAGGGATTCCCCATCAACACTGACTGTGTGTATGCAGGAATGGAGTTATTTTTTTTCCTTCCACACATGGTGGAAGGGAAGAAAATTGTCTCATCATTGGACTGCCTTAGTCACTGGCCAGAACAAGTATGCAGATAAGAACTTCTGACCTTTATCTTAGGCCCTTTTCACACGGGCGTTCCCTATGTCCGTTTTTCATCTGTCCGTTTACGGATGAAAAACGGACATCCATGTATTTCTATGGACTAGATCATCTGTTTACATCTGTTAATGTCCGTATCCGTTACCATCCATTTTTTGAACAGAAGAAAACCCTATTTTTTTCCGTAATAAAACTGGAAAAGGGACAAAAAACGGATGTAAAGAGACAGCAAACAGATGTATACGGATGTAAATGGACATACGGTCCATTTTTGTATCAGTAAAGGATGTAAAAAAACTGATTTAAACTGATGAAAAACGGATGTAAACTGATGAAATACTGATTTGAACTGATCCATTTTTTTCATCAGTTCAATCACATTTTTTCCAAAAAAAAACGGAACACCCGTGTGAAAGGACCCTAACTATTGTGATCTGCAAAGTATTAAAAACAGACACAACAGCCAGGTAATTAACATTGTCATTTTAGTGTAGCTCCTTCTTTTAGAAGGCTTACTTTAATTGCATGAAAAATAAAAAATAATTAAAAAATAAATAAATAAATAAATATATATATACATATATATATATATATACATACATGCACACACACACTATATTGTCAAAAGTATTGGTCGGCCTGCCTTTACACGCACATGATTGTGTTCAGTATTGAGTTGGCCCACCCTTTGCAGCTATAATAGCTTCAACTCTTCTGGGAAGGCCGTCCACAAGGTTTAGGAGGGTGTCTATGGGAAGGTTTGACCATTCTTCCAGAAGAGCATTTGTGAGGTCAGGCACTGATGTCGGACAAGAAGGCCTGGCTGTCAGTCTCCGCTCTAATTCATCCCAAAGGTTGTCGATCAGGTTGAGGTCAGGACTCTGTACTAGCCAATCAAGTTCCTCCACCCTTTATGGACCTTGCTTTGTGCTCTAGAGTCCAGCGGTGTGCTTTACACCACGGCATCTGACGCTTTGCATTGCATTCGGTGATGTAAGGTTTGGATGCAGCTGCTCGGCCATGGAAACCCATTCCATGAAGCTCTCTACACACTGTTGTTGTGCTAATCTGAAGGCCACATGAAGTTTGGAGGTCTTTAGCTATTGACTCTGCAGACAGTTGGCGACTTCACTGTGCACTTCAGCATGCGCTGCCCACGCTCTGTCATGTTACGTGGCCTACCACTTGGTGGCTGAGTTGCTGTTGTTCCCAGTTGCTTCCACTTTGTTATAATCCCACTAACAGTTGACCGTGGAATATTTAGTAGCCAGGAAATGTCACAGATGGACTTATTGCACAGGTGACAACCTATCACAGGACCACGCTTGGAGTCACTGAGCTCCTGAGAGTGACCCATTCTTTCACAAATGTTTGTAGAAGCAGTCTGCATGCCTAGGGGCTTTATTATATACACCTGTGGCCATGGAGGTGATTGGACAAACCTGAATCCAATGATTTGGAGGGCTGGTCCAATACTTTTGGCAATATAGTGTATATATATATATATTCGTAATGCTAATCAATTAATTTAAATACATTCTAACCCAATATGGCAAGCAGGAATTTTTAACTCAATGGCTTCTTCCAGGTCAGTGATTTAGACAGTACTGAAACCACAGACAGCAAAGCAAATGATATTTTAGCAGAGGTCAGCAATGACAGTCCTATTGTTTCTGCTAGTCTGGTCTTTTTCACAGGCGTTGGTGAGACCCGCTGCCGTTCTGAACTCTAGCAGTCACACGTCTGTCATGCCACTTAATCACATAACTGTATGGTGAATATGAAAGTGGAAGCAAGAGCCGACTGCTACTTCCCCTTATTTAGCAACTTTATTTTTACACTACTTTCTGTACAGAACTCATCCTGTCATGTCTTCCTTCCTCTGCTGCTGTCTCCTTTAATAATCATCAAACATTTGAAAGGGTCAAATTTTACCCAATTGTATTTAAAAACTAAATCTTGATCTGCTTATATTTTTCCGTCCTCGGTTCTCCCCCCCCCCCCACACTTTCACACCTTATTTTAAATCCAGTGATCACATCACTGAGTCTCTGTGATTCTCTGTGCAATGTAGGCACCTCATGGCTGGTGGGAAGGATCAACTTTTATGTTTGCCATCTGTGTCCTATTGGAGAGATTTCCCTTCATTTCCTGGCCCATAGCCACAATAGGAAGTGAGAAGAAATCCTTCCAAAGTAAGGGAATCCTTAGTTGTCACCAGAACTAGTGTCACCATTGGAAGATTTTGCCTCTATTCTTGTTCTGGTGACAACCCAAAATTTGGGATTTTTGTTCACTTTCACTCTTGGTGATAATGGTAAACAGGACAAATAGGGAGGATGAATCTCCCTAACTGGGGCAGAAAGAGCGATAAAAACCTAGCAGGTGTTCTAATCTTTCTCGACTCTTTTCAAATAAAATAAAAAAGTTTTGCTTTTAGTTTTGCCATAAAGTAAATCTAAATCCCAAACCAAAAATATAATCTATTACAGCTTACTAGTTCTTGGTGTGCTGGCTGCATTTGTTTTATTTTTTCAATCTCCGTTTGCTTTATTTGCATCTGATAATCCTGTGAATAACATACTTCCTGTCCCTGGGTGGCTACATCACTCCCTCACTGTATCTATGGAGGGAGTCAATGTTGTCACCATAGGCTGCTCTCCCGATATGGACTACAAACATGTCCATATTTCTTTACCTCCGTTACATGGGGGGCAAGGCTATTGGTAGTTTGCAGAAGATCGCTAGGAAAGAAATTATTCTTCAGTGCAGCTCATAGGAAATGACAAGGACACTGCATTTCTGGCAGGATCATCGGGTATTATCTGTATTTGTTGAAAACATTCTTAGTTTGAAAAAAAAAAAAAAAATATATATATATATATATATATATATATATATATTATTTTTTTTTTTTTTTTTTTTTTTTTTTCCTTGGGTTTAGTTATCCTTAAGGCCCTGTTCACACCTCAGCAATGCAGGAGAGTTGATTTTTTTGTGCTTTTTTTTGCATGTGTTTGGAATGACACCATTCACTTGATTGGGCTGCCCTCCACTCCAAAAAACATACCAAAGTAGCATCGGTACACTTTTTGGAGCCAGCTTTGGAGCGTTTTTGAATAGTGTGTGTTTTCATGTTTTTTGGGTGTTTTGTTGCATGACAAAACCTCCATTTCTTTAGCACTCTTGTTGTTGCCTTGAATGGTACTCAAATGCGCATTGCATGTTTTTATCGCATTCTGGAATAACAGGCAGAATTGCGCAGTTCTACTACACTCAGATGTGAGCAGGACCTTAAACTCCCTCCAAAGACAAAAACATAAGGAACTGACAGAGTTTCTAATCCCTATCCCTAAGAAAAAATTGTAATTTGTGAAGATGGGGACTTGGAAGCTGCCTTTGCTGGCTTGGATTTTAAAGATCCAGGTCCTAGGACTGTCATCCTGACTGACCTTCACTAACCCAGAACCAGGACAGATTCCAGAGATGAGTAGCTCTATCCGTATTCCTGGTCAGTAATCCATGAGGTAGGGAGGCTATGATCAGAATGATGGCCTTGGTCCTGTCAGCTCCAAAGCTTCTATACTCACTTCTTTCCTTGGACCATTTTACTGTCACTGATATATGTAGTATGTTGGTAGCATCAAGTGTGTAAATCTAACAAGCTGACTGTGAGATGGCAGCTTCACAGCTTCCACGCACCTAGTAGAAGCCAGCTTTCCACCCGGGAATGGGGTAGTCCCAAACAAGTATTTATGCCGGCTTTGTTGGGGCCCTTATGGTGGTGCACAGTTGTTGAAATTTAGTGCCTTCTGCCTGATTTCAGTTCAAATCCAGAGGCAAGCTCAAACAGTGGCAGAAATGCAAGTTCAGGCAGAAGTAAAAGTAGTTCTGGATTAATTCTGCAATCCTGGATGGATGATATGGTAGCACATGCAGTAGACTAAACAGGCTGGGTAAGTTCTAGAGGCTAGGAGAGTAGGGCCGTATCTGGCCTAAAGTTTTGATCTCTGCTGTACAGTGTGCATAAATAGTTGACAACCCTCTCACCAATCCTGCAACTCAGCCGTAGATGCCGGTGACAGAAGGGCCCCTCACGGGTCACTGTCTTTAACTCTGTGTACCCCTACCATGTCTGCACACCCAGGACCGCCATGGTGGGTGGAGGAGAGGAAGATCAGTAAACATCTGTTCACATATCTCTCCTTCCTGTTAATAACATGAATCAATGTGTAAAAATATCTGCACTACATTTGTTTCAATGGAGGTCAGATGAGAATGAAAGGGAGATTAAAGAGAACCTGTAACCAAATCTGTGATCCTGCTGGTTGGCAAGTTGTCACAGGTGTGACATGGCCCTGAGCAGGGGTGGACTGTCCATTTGGAAACTCGGGCACTGCCCGAGGGCCCGGGGTCAGTAGGGGGCCCCATGAGATGCCCCTGGTACCTTTTTCATAGGCTTTTTTTGAGTTTGGGCAAGGACACAGGGCCCCCATGATCCCCTATTGCCCGGGGGCCCCATGATTTGTCAGTCTGCCCCTGGCCCTGAGTCATCTAAATATGGGTTTGTGGCACATTCGTCTTTTATGGGGGCTTCTGTTAAACTACAACTTAGTAGAAGTGTACTTGATAAACAGTTGTAAATCTGAATGTCAGAACATGAGATCCTTCTTAAGATTCAAGGATTGCTGCATAGCTAGCAATAAAGGACATGTGCCCTTTACCCAGCACAGCCATTATAACAAGCAGGGCTAAAGTCTATGAGCCTTGTGTATTCATGTTTTTTTTTCCCCGACTGGAGTTATTTTTTCCCTGCCAGCAATAGGGTTCAAACTTTTTAGGACGGGTTTCATGCTGATTGGGGCTAAGAGAACAGTGACTTCAGTTATTAGTAAGAATACATTGACATTGGGTTCTATGTAATACTAACCTACTTGACTGTTGCCCTATAACCTCAACTGATCTGTCAGCAGTTTCAGGTTTCCATGCAGGGCAAAGCACGCAGGTTTACAAAAGAAAAAAAACTAGCTAGCTGTCTCCAATCTACACATTAAGGCCTCTTTAACACGGGTGCTCCATATGCCCATTTTTCATCTATCCGTTTACGGATGAAAAACGGACATCCATGTATTTCTGTGGACTTGTGGATGTAAACGGATGAACATCTTTTAATATCCGTTAATGTCCGCATCCACTAACATCCGTATTTTTAATGGAAGAAAATCCTATTTTTCTTTTTGATGAAAAACCAATGTCAACTGATGTACACGGATGTAAATGGACCAAAAACGGATGTAGACGGATGAACATGGATGAAAAACGGATGTAAACGGATCTAAATCAGGGGCGGACTGACCATTTGGAAACTCGGGCACTGCCCAAGGGCCTGGGGTCAGTAGGGGGCCCCATGAGATGCCCCTGGTACCTTTTTCATAGGCTTTTTTTGAGTTTAGGCAAGGACACAGGGGCCCCATGATCCCCTGTTGCCCGGGGGCCCCATGAGTTGTCAGTCCGCCCCTGATCTAAACAGATGACAAACGGATGTAAATCAATGTAAACGGATGAAAAGCTTATCTAAACTGATTAAAAACGATGTAAATGGATTAAAAAACGGATGAAAAGGATGTAAATCAATGTAAACGGATCTAAACGGATGACAATTTGATGTAAACCAATGTAAACGGATGAAAAACTATGTAAATGTCTTAAAAACGGATGAAAAGGATGTAAACCAATGTAAACGGATCTAAACGGATGAAAAATGTATGTAAACGGATGAAAAACGGATGAAATAACGGATGTAAACTCATCCGTTTTTCTTTGAAAAAACGTGACTGAACTGAAGAAAAAAAAAAAACGGAATACTCGTGCAAAAGGACCCTAAAGTGGTCCTCTGGGGAAAAAATAAAAACTCTGTTTTGCCAGATTACCATAATTCCTATACAATCAAAGGATGCTCTTTATAAATTATTAATATTATTATTATACCGTATTTATAAAGCGCCAACAGTTTGCTCAGCGCTGTACATTACAATGGGGGACAATACATGAAACAGTACAACAATAATACAATGTGATACACGAGGGGTTTGAGGGCCCTGCTCCTTGGAGCTTACAATCTAGGAGGGAGGGGATGGTGGTACAGGAGGAAAAGCTGTGGGGGATGGAGTGGTAGGAAGAGTGGAGGAGATCGGCAGTTAGCAGGGGGGGTGGGGTAGGCTTCCCTGAAGAGATGGGTTTTCAGGGTGCGCCTAAAGGAGAGGAGAGTAGGTGATAGTCTGATGGATTGGGTTAGGGAGTTCCAGAGGATGGGTGACACCCTGGAGAAGTCCTGGAGGCGGGCATGGGAGGAGGAGACCAGGGAACTAGAGAGAAGGAGGTCTTGTGAGG